AGCAACAGAGAAGGCAGGGAGTGTTACAGTTGCTTTCTTCTAAGGCAGCACAAGGACCTTCACTGAAGTAAGGAAAACATTTTTATCACTAAAGCTACGCTGTCTGCTTCACTGTCCCAGCCCCATCCTGTCCTGCTTTCTGAGTCAATTGAAAGAAACAGTACACATAATATCATGTATTCACCCTTTTTTTCTGAATCAGCAAAATCGTTAACGAAAAATAACACTGATCCAAACTGGGGCCCCTGCTTTAATCCTGGGTGAGCTTTGGACTGTGTGCCAACACTGTAAGAAGAAAGTTTGAGGCCTTTTAGGATTTGTTATCTCTCAGATTCACAACCTTTAAGGTTGGCAGAGTTGTTTTGATCTGTCAACCCAGAGGCATCCTAGTTGGGCTTACTCTAGCGATTGACATGAGGATTACCCTACAGCTCAGCAGAACTAATATGGGGTATTTTTGCTGTAGAGGACTTTTTTTTTTTTAAGCACTCTTTACTGCTCTCTCTACCAGCTCATCCTCCTGTGGTTTGTGAGGGCTGGAACTAAAATGCTTTAAAAAGCTTGGTATTGAGATCTAGAACACTTGGGATCATTGTTAGTGGAAATGTATGGGTCCAAAGTTCCTTACAGGTGTTTGGATCCAGAGGTTTGATTGAGGCTTGTCTAGCAGTATTTAAATTGTAAGATCTTTGAAGCTGGGATAGTGGCTTCATAAAGCACCTGTCTGTAAAGTTCCCAGCTTGGCACAGTGTTGATGCTATACAAATAAGAATCTGTAAATAAAATAATAAACAAGCAATAATAATTAAAACCTAGATAATGGGTAACACAAGAATGGCTGATTGCAATCTAATGATTAAATATTATATTCTCAGACACTGAAAATGTTCTAAAATACAACTCTTCAGCTTGCAACAGCAGATGTGAGACCACTGGACTTAGCTGTCTTTGGGCTAAGTTGTCCTCTCATTTCCAAGAGACTGGATTATGCAACAGAAAAATGAACTAGTGTTAGGTCATGGAGTTCCTCATAGATCTTTTATTGCTGCTTTCCACAAATGGTTCTTTAAGGACTCTAACCTGAGGGAAAATATCAGCATTAGATACCCGAGAGGCAGCCTGGTTTAAAGGGTAGAGCATTGGCCTGAAATTCAGGAAACCTGAGTTCTGTTATCAGTTCTGCCAATGACTTGCTGCATGGCTTTGTACAAGCCACTGCTCCTACGCTTCCTCTCAATCTTTCTTCTATATATAGACAATATATGCCTCTTGAGGGCAGGGACTATCTCTTACTATGTGTTAGCATACGATTAGTTAGATAATAATGTGGAATAGGTACACTTTTAGAATGTGTAGGGCTGAGTATTATAGGAATTTGAGGCAATATGCAGAATATATGCACATTCAATAGATTACACCTATGCCACAGAACAGGAATGGGGCTAGAGGGTAAAACTTTCAGAAGTGCCTAAGTGACTGAGAAGCTCAAGCCCCATTTTCAAAATTGCCTAAGTCACTTCAGAGAGAGCTGTGCAAATAATAATTTTTTTGGTTTGCTGACAATTCTAGAAAACTGGGAAAAATTGTTTTGGGTCAACCTGCAAATAATTAAAAACACCAAAACAGATATGGCAAATTGAAAAGTAAAAGAAAAAAAATTCATTTTGGGCAGAACAAAATTTTTTGTTAGATTGGAATCAAAATGTTTCATTTACATTTTGAGCCTTTTTTAAACAATTTGCATTTTTAAAAATAAAATGAAGAAAATTTCTACACACAGTCATTTCAACACCCTAAATCAGAACTTTCCATTTAAAAAATGTTGAAATGAAACATTTTATCTTTTCCAGAATGTTTTTGTCTGTTTGTTTTCAAAATGAACAATTTATCCAAACTGAAATTAATTCACAAAATGTCTTGATGTTGTTGAATCTGCATATTTCACAGACAAAAAGTTTTGGCTGAACATTTTCACCCGGCTCTAATTTAGGACCCTAAATCCCTTTGACTTTCAAGAGGACTTAGCTTCTTCAGTCACACAGGTGCTTTTGAAAATTTTACCCAGCACCTACATCTGATGCACAAGAAAGTCAGCAGTAAAAGGACTGCAGAGGAGCTGGAATATTAACAGAAATCATAAACCCGATGACTGAGTGTCTGGCCACAACCAAGGAAGTAATAAGATATTTGGATGCATGGAGAAATCAAACATATGCTAGGGGAAAAGCCAATGCCAAATATTCAATACCTACTGTGCCTACTGTGCCTCGTTTTGCGGAAAGATATGAAAAGTTGGAAAGGTAAAAATGAAGGGGAACAAATATAAGTAACTTCTTAAGCAGTGAATGGAGGCTAGAAAAACTAGTATTGGGTATTTATTACAATTCGGGAAATTGCAGGTCTAATCATGCAGTCGTCCCTGTATGAAATTCAAGCATGGACCTTCCCCCCTCAAAGGAAAACTATGACAGGAGCTGACTTAGTATAGGACATGAATGAAACACTGTATCTAAAAGGTATAATGGGAAGACTATAGATGCCCCAGAATGTTTTGAGATGTGTGAGATTCTGGAAGGAAAGGGAAATGAATTTGCAGTCTGGTAGGCCAGGCTCAAAGGAGCTTTAGGAGGAACTTGTTTTTTCACTGGGATGATTAGTGTGTAGAATCAATTGGTTTAAACATCAATAGCAGGAACTAATGTATATTTAAGAAATGCTTAGAGGGAAAAATATATTACAAGATACAGTCGAAAGAAACAGATGTGGATGGGTAACATGATCTCCTTAGTGCCAAAAGTTCCTGTTATATAATGTGTGTTTCATTTGTTCAAATGTCAAGGATTCATTAGATGATGAATTATGGAATTTAGGTTTGCAGTGCTACCCCCATGGTCAAGCAAAGCTGCAATTGTGCAAGGCAAGCGACCCTGAAATAAACTTAGGAAGGAAAATAACATCTTGGTTTAGAAAGGATCCAACAAGCTGCTGCCCTTGAACATAGCTCATTAGTGCAGTTTCATTCCCTTGATGAGCTCAGAAGAATAAATAATAAAGGTCTTGCAGAAAGAAACCTGTATTTGTATTCCTGTCCAAGAACGGGAAGCAGACCCGAGTGAGCTCTTCCCAATTTGCCCCATCCTCTTTTTACCTTGTGTAGTTGCATATATTTCACAATACTTGTTAGCTCTTGATTTATCGTTGTATTTTGGGACCCCTTTTCCAACCTATTCCTTCCTCTCCTGCAATAGCAATCCAAGGCTGACATTAACTTTTACTCTTGTTACTGCCCAGTAATCATAGGCATTACAGGTAAACTGGGGAAGGCCCAGGTTCACCAAGAGGCACAACTCGCTCTAGGAGCAATATGATGACATCAGTAACATAACCATGTGGTTAGGAGCTGCTGCCTCCTTTGAGTGACTGAGGACGGAGTGTATGTATGGGGGGTGGGGGCTCCCAGCTGCCACAGCTACTTAGCTACAGGTGGCTGGGGGAACTTCCTAACTGCTTCTGCCCTCTCTAGGTGGAGATGGGAGCCCTGACGGCCACTGTTGGGCTCCCTCCTACCCAATTGCCACTGGTGCAGCTTGTGCAACTGTCTGGATCACTTTTTATCTTTATACCCTCTGAAGCAGGGAGCCCTGTGATGAGACTGGTTCACTTCCCCCCCACCAGAGCTGAAGGCTGTCACCTCCACAGGCTGCTCTTGGGGCCGGGCCCTGTGAGGAGGCTGCCTGCCACACCTGGATCAGGTGTGTGTGTCCTGTTTATGGGGAGAGACCTCCTCCAACTGTATGCTGCCCAGAAGTAAGCACTCTGCTGGGGTGGGAAGGGCTGAGGCCTCCCTCCTCCTGGATGCACCCAGCCTACCCAAGGATGGGGAACACTGGACTAGGGAACAAGGAGGCCCCAGCCCCCCTGAAAAGCAGCAGTAGCAGGGGCTTATGAACAGGCAGTGGGCCCCATCAGCCTATCTGAAGGCCCCTTTCATCACCAACACAAGTATTATGATTATTTATTGTTTTTATTATCATAGCAGCTAGGAGCAGGACCCTGCTGTGATAGGTGCTGGAAAAACACAGAACAAAAAGACCTTGTCCCAAGGAGTTTCCAATCTAAGTAGGGGCAGAGTCAGGTGGGATGGAGTGGGGCCACTTCTGGGGTTCTCTGAGTGGGTGTGTCTAGGATCCTCAGCTGCCTTAATCCAGCTCTGGTTAGGGGCAGTTGAGATTGTGAGGATATTTACAGGTATGAGGGGGAAGAAAGAATGAGGAGGAAACAGAGGTGGCGAGGGGGGACAGAGGTGGGGGGCTACAGGGAGAAGACCTGTGATCAGAGTTAGGTAAGAATCAGAGAAGTGTAGGACTGGAAAGGACCTCAAGTAGTCCTCTAGTTCAGCCCCCTGCACTCAAGGCAGGACTACATAATAACTAGACCATTCCTGACTGGTGTTTATCTAATGTGTTCTTAAAAACCTCCAGTGACAGAGATTCACAGCCTCCCTGGGCAATTTATTCCAGCCCTTAACTACCCTGGCAGTTAGGAAGTTTTTCCTAATGTGCAACCTAAACGGCCCTCGCTGCAATTTAAGCCCATTGCGTCTGGCAAGAGTTCACTTCTGATCTCATATCTGCCTATGAGCTGCTGCCCATGGGATGGCTTCAGTACAGCCCCAACACACACTTTCTGGCGGTTCTGCATTAACTAAATCTACCTGCAGTATAATCCTGCTTGCAGCATCGACAGACAGACGGACACGGGGACAGATACTATCAACAGTATCAGCCCTCTCCGTTTATAGCACCAGTATGCCTGTGTAGTACCTACCTGTCTGTCTACTCAGGCTATAGTCTCTCTCTCTCTCTCTCGACTTTCTCTCCACTATTGTCCTAACAGTGTCTCCAGGACGTCTCCCTATAGAGCATCCAGGGATTTAACCTGTCTAATCACCTCTGAGAGTTACACAGAGTGTTACAGCCCCACAACCCGCCCCCGCGTGCTATGTGTATGCCACAGAAAGACACACACCGGCTGCTCTGCAAACCAAACCTCCAGCCACTGCTTGACACGCACGGCGCAGAGACACACACGCACACATGCCCAGAGCGCTGCGAACTAACCCCCCTCTCCCGCCCGAAGCGAACAGGCTTCCGCAAGGCAGCCCCGCTCAGAGAGGGACACCCCGGGACGCTCCGAGGGACACAGGAGGTGTGGAGGCGCTGCCCATGGCTGACAAGAGCTTCATTGAGAAACCCGAGTCCTGCCCGCAGAAGGAGGAGGCTTTGGAGTGGGGCTACGAGGAAGGTAAGGAGAGGGTGGGAAGGCAACGAGCTCCCCGAGCTGCTGGCTGGGGCCGAAGGAGGGAGAAGTTTCACTGTGTGGGGGAGAAAGGGACGTTTCACCTATGGAAAGGCAAAGTACAGTGACATGCAGCCCATCATCACATCGTCTCCTCTTTAGTAGCTAAACTTTCAGGGTAATATCGAAGCTGAGATCATGGTGTCAAGGGGCACGGTCAACTTTCATTTGTCCCCAAATCCATATTTGGTACAAACACCCTTTTATGCAACATCAGGCCAATAGAAATATTTTCCCCATTAAACAAACAAGCAAACAAAAACCTAACAGGAGAAATCAGGTATTTTAAAATAAATAAATATTCCTCTGCTACCTTTAAAATTCAGACCCTGCAGCACTAAGAACCTGATAGTGAAACCAACTATAAAACAAAGTAGAACTGATTTAGTTTATTTCATTGTCCAAGTTCAGAGAAATGCAAAAAAGGCAAACTGATAATAAATTATGAGTAGCCAATGGGATTTTAAAAATGCATTCATTCATGTTGAACTATCGAAGATGCTATTAGTAACAGGGGTAAAAGAATTAGTTCGTTTACGGCATTTTTTTGACAGTGCCCCTTTAAGTGAAGGGGTCTCTTCAATGATATATTTTTGCATGTATGCAAAGGTTAAAGCTGCATGTCCTTCACGAAAAGCAGTCATATTTTATTTCCACATGATAGTTTTTCATTTTATTTTTAGGAGTCGAGTGGGGGTTGATCTTTCCTGATGCTAATGGAGAATACCAGTCTCCTATTAACTTGAATTCAAGAGAAGCCAAATATGACCCCTCACTACTAGAAGTACGTTTATCACCAAACTATGTTGTTTGCCGTGACTGTGAAGTAATTAATGATGGGCATTCCATTCAAATTGTCCTTAAGTCAAAATCAGGTATGCTTAATCATTGTTTACATTTTTTTTCCAACACAATAAAATGGATGATAAAGTTTAGATTATCTTAAGCAATATTCTCTACACTGTAACTGAAATGAGAAAGAACATTCACTTCTATAAATGGGCTATGATCCAAATCCTGCATCATTTTAGTCAATAGGAGTTTTGCCACTGACTTTAATGGAAGCAGGAGTGAGCTTTGTGGGTAGCAGGATTGTTATGGTCCAAAACTGGACATTCATTTTTTGTGAAGCTCTTAGAAATCTAATAATTAATCCTTATGTCAAGAAAGTTTGCTGTTGCTAGAAATCTAATAATTAATCCTTATGTCAAGAAAGTTTGCTGATGCCAGCCTGGTTCACAGCATGCAGCATTGTTGAAAATTTCCGCTTATGATGGTGTGACCTAATTCGCTTGAGCCAACAGTGTCTGAAGTTTAGAAATTGTCCAGAATATAACTAAGATGTTGTGGAACTCAAATTGTATTTTATATATATGGCTGACAGAAACTGTGGACCTGATCCAAAGTCTATGGAAATCAACAGGAGTTTTCCATTGACTTCCATGGCTTTTGATGATGCATTATATGGATAACTGTGGACCTTGATGGTTCATTTAGGATAAGATGCTTGAATTATACTTAGGATGTTGATGGACCTTCAATTTTAAAGGGTCAGTATTTACCACAAAAATAACTAGAAAGCAATAAAAACATGATTTCCAGCTAAACTGAAAGTTGAAATCCTGGATGTAGAATTCTGTGATCAGAACGTTGGGTCTGGTTGAGCTATGCTCAGTGCAGGACTTAAAAGTCAGGAGGGAAGGTGGAGAGAAGCAATCCTTTGTGGCTTTCCAGTCCTGTGGTAGATAGGACCCAGTTCCGACCCTGTATAAAGTTAGAGGAGTCTCAGAACTGTGCTGTCTGGTAACAGCCTTGTAGAGGCTGTTATGAAGCACAAGATTGCTAGAGCCCAAGGCCTTCCAGCCATGCTTTGTTCTGCCTGACATGCCACCTACTCAAAGCAGTCTGGGAAGGGTGGTGCAGAGCCAGCTCTATGCCAGCTGGTTATTCACCTGTGCTGGGGGAATCCCCAGCCAATGCCCTCTAATTTTTGACAGGCCATGTGTGCAAAAAAATTCTTCTGTGCAAATTTTTGACAGGCTGTGTGCACAAAATATTTCTTCTGTGCAAATTGTTGTGCTTCTGTGCAAATTTTGTGCAAGCGGTGTTTTGCCGTGTGTGCGGGGTTTAGGATCTGTGTGCACGTGCACACATGCACAGCTTAGAGGGAACAGTGTCCCCAGCTGCTCTGTTAGTGCAAAGAGGTCAGAGCAAGGGCTCAGGATCTGGCCTGTGATGTTTATTTTCATCAAACCAATAATATAGGTGGCAGATTTGTATAGTGGAAGGAGAAACAGGTGTGCAATGTATATCTTTGAGATGAACTTTAGTCTGTCAAGCTAGCACTAAGGATTAATGTTAATGTTCAGAAAGTATGGTGTTTACCATATTTGAACAAGGATGAAAACTTGCACAATGTGACCGGTCAGTTCACCACAGCAAGTGTTCTGAGGGCCATCAGTGGTACATGGGTCATAGTTTGGGAACTTCTGTTGGGGGATTTTTACAGAGAGTTAAAAAGTAATACATGTCTGGATATGAAGTCCTTGAAAAGCAGTACAGTCACCTCTAGGTCACCAACAGGAATTCAGAATGATAGTGCCCAACTATAAGCTGGCAGTCTCAGTCAAGTCCCATCTTCTGTTCCTAGGTCTGCCACAGATTTCCTGTCACTTAATCTCTCTGTGCCCTGTTCTCCACCTGTAAAATCAGGATAGATGTTTCATTACAGGTGTATGTCTTCTGCCTCCAGGAGGGGGAGGAAGGAGTTAATAAGCTCCCTTAAGCTTAAAGACCACCACCAACAGAATGCCTCTGTGTCCAGTTCACTAAACTTGCCCGACCTACGATCCTGCTGCAGCTCCCACAGCTTGCCACCTCACCAGGGTGCTGTGAAGACAAATCTATTCAGCCAGCTATTTAATATATAATAAATGGGAGCTGCTGAGCACTGAGCACTTCTGAAAATATGGCCAATTAATGTATGAGAGGTTCCCATATACATAGCGAAGTAGCCATAGAAAAGCCTACAAATATATAAAGTAGATGACTAAAATATATATTAAAATCAATGGTTATTCCATTTCAGACTATATGTTTTTCAGTTGTATCATTGAACAGTGCACATATTGTTGTCATCTATAGAGCTGTCATTAATGATGGTTCTTTTGATCCTTAATTCAGAACATACATTCAGACTCTTCATTTGACTTTGTAAACATTTTACAGGTTGCATCCAGTTTCGGCACTGTGCATGTATGATATATAAGATGGAGGAAGCATGACTGACTTTATAATGGAGTAGAATAGATATGATTGAGAGCCTTCTTGAATATTTCAGAAATATTTTTAAGGGTATTCTACTAGCAGAAACACTTCTCCTTTGACCACAATGGAGGTCAGGTATACTCTACAAGGACTGACAGTTTCAGAATGATTTTCTGGTAGGGAATCACACATTGCAGAGAGGCAAAGTGCACATGAATATGTTCTATGCACTGACAATAAATACTCTTAACATGGGATGAGTATTATGAATTAAACCTCATAGATAGGTTTGGTGATGGTCCTGTAGATCCAAAACAATATTACAGTAGAGAGCACTTCCAGTTACACACACATAATGGGAATAATACTTCCTTTCACAAAAAAAAATCTGTGTTACTAAAGATATAATATTAATATAACACATTATCAGATTTTGCTGTATTCTGGGCATGTTGGTTTCCTCAATGTTTATCACATTAACAATGTAGCGCTTTGTCAATAGTGATATAGTTAAGAGGAATATAAGATGCAAATTTGAATCTACACATGCACTTTAGGATAGTCCTGCTATCTTACAATTGAAAGACTTTATAACTGTGATGATACTTAGAAAGAGCATCAAAGCTTTATGTTCTGTCGATGTGGAAGACATACTAATCAGTATGGGTGACTTTGTCCTTTGTTGTAACTTATAGTAGAAATCTTAATTGGTGAGTTTTACCTCTGACATGTTACATTCTTTTGGCAAACAGTTCAATATGATAATATTGTGTGTTAGTAGTATTTCACCATAGCTGATGCTCCAAGCTGAAAATGAGATTGTATTTAGTTAAAATAGATACAATTATTTAAGATTGTGGATCCTTTATTGCATAAAGCCCAGCATAATGCAACAAAAAACTATTTAATTTTCACTAATTTACTGGTCAAAGAGGGTCCGATGCAAAGTCTATTGAAGACAGTGACAGATTAGAGTTTGAGCTTTGAAGCAGACCTGTAACCACTCTAAGCTCCAAATCTGCCCTTGTATATGAGAACATTACTCCTATTGACTTCCGTGAAGAGTTTTAAGCATGTACCTGAGGGCAATATTTGGTCCTAAGCAGCTTCAGGACTCATTGGACCAAACTCTGGCATGGATGGAAGTGAGGGCCAAAGTTTGGCTTCAGATATGTACACCTATGTGTATATCCCATTGCAAAAAGATAGATTAATGTCAAATGTTCAAGTTATAATTTATACTGCTTTCCATCTCCTATAACTGGGGGATGGATCTTTTTGTTGTTTAATTTTAAGGCATTATCCGACATTCACAACTGTGGCTTTTGGAAACAGCAATAAGAATATTCTGGCAGTCTAGAAGACTGTGAAGCATCTTCCTAGTGGTTTACTTTAAGTAAATACAGTATAGTGTTGATATTGAATCTTAAGATTATTTATTGCGAGCTCACAGAACACAAGGGCAACCTGTATCTCACAAGCCTGGCAGGTGGTGTCTATCAAAATATCATTATCTTACAAAACACTGGCAGCCAAGAATGCCAGAGTTTCATGACCAATTTCCGCACAATAAACAAAGGTGATACAGGCGAGGCATTTGTACAGCTATGAGGCAATTATGCAGTTTGACACCAGAAGGAAACTGCATCATCTGGTTAGAACACAGAGCTACTGTTTGGCTATCAGTCTATAAATGTATTCACTCTTTGGAGTGATAAGCATACAATGCTTTTATCTTGCAACATGACTAGCTGTTCCACCTTGCAAAACTCAGAATGCTGGATAATACCATTTTCATAGCCTTATATAACTGAGAATGAATTGGGATTCTGCAGATGCGTAGTAATACAGGAGAAAAGGCAGCAGGTATGTTAGCTTTGCTCCCATTTTCTCTAAGATAGATCGTAATACAGAAGTTTGCAACAATCTCCCAGTTGTTTGTGGACAATGTACTCAGCAGCTTGTTTGCTTGGAAAACTAAGTATGTCTTCATTTGTGTTCTTTTCCAGTGTTAGTAGGTGGGCCATTACCTCGGGGACATGAATTTGAACTACATGATGTTCAGTTTCACTGGGGGAGAGAAAACCAGCGTGGCTCTGAACACACTGTTAATTTTAAAGCTTTTCCCATGGAGGTAAGAGTGACATCGTATTGAAAAACACCTGCTCTATGCACAAGATGTTAAATCATTGCTTGATAACCTGGTAGTTCAAAACAGCATTTCTTTTTTGCTCCGCATTTTTCCTTCGAAAATACCGTCTGCTGAAGTGTGCTTTAGTGCCAGTAAATTGAGATTTGCGTCTTTAGTAATGTGCCTCTAGCATACATCGTATTGCATGATTAATTGGCCATAAAGTTAACTTGCAGAACTATTAACTTCTGTCTTAATAATATTAGCATTCTAACAAGATCTGCTATTTCAACACTTCCTATGTCACCTTGACTAATAGCTATAGTTGGGGGAAAATAGCTGTTGGAAGCCTTTCCATGGAAAATAATAATTTGGGGTAAACTTGTTTAAAAAAAGCATAAACAAATTGCTCATGAAAAGCTTTAGACATCTGAAAACTGGAGAATATATGAAATTCTTATATATAATCATAGCATGGAGTGAAGTTCAGCTTTGGAAAGAAGGGTAAAGGTGTACTGCAATCTTAAAATTTGAGCTGTTCCACAGATACTCAGCTTCATGTTCCACCATTGCAACTGTGCTGCAGAAGATCATTCCAGTATTTTCATTTACTGTGCACTTCATCTTTTGTATTATAAGGAGACTTTCTTGCCTTTTTTCAGAGGTTTTAAAATTAGTTTTGCCTTGCTATTTATCATAATCCCTTAGAAGCTTGAAATGGAATTTCCTATCCATTTATGCTCTCCTCTTCAAGTGCTTGGGCATTTGTTACTGGCTGGTTACACATGGATCCCACCCTGCTGGAATAGAACTTTTTAAAAGAAAAAGGATAAAAATCAGCATTTATTTTAAAAATAAATATAAAAATCCACATGGAGTTGTGGAATAGGTACAGGTTTAATGCGTAGCTTAAATAACTGGGTTAGGAACTTTGGTCATATCGTGGCCTCTGCTTTGACTGCTTTGTATCAGTCTGCTGCAGAATTGGCTTCAGGAAAGTTACCCCTACATGGGGGACTCACCAGGTAATATAGGGCCAAAGTAACAGCTTCTACACCACCTTTTACTGGACCCTGTATAGATGCATCCCCATGCCAAAGCAATTCCAGTGGCCCTTTGTGACAGTGGGCAACTGATGCAATATAAAGCAAACCTGCCCCCAGTAAGTTAATGTCCATTTAAAAAATAAATCAGTATGTAAAAAAGGGTCAGCATGGAGGCAAACCATGAAAAAGGTCCAGGGATTAGCCAGCAGATCTGATCAGCCTCTATGGGAACCCATGGTAAGCCTCCTTTAAGGGCAGCATGACAGCTGTACTAAAAATTCCTGACAAAGTGAGGGATGTCAAACCAAGATTTCATTACAGTTAGCATAGAAGTGTGTATATAGAGCTATAAAAGAACAAACTGGCTTCCACCTCATCTCTTGCATCAAAGCTGTTTTTGGTTAAGTTCTGATCCTAGGATCTTGGCTACTGGTGACAGTAGGGTAGGTCTAATGGCTGGAAGTTAAGACTTATTTATCTATTTAAAATACATTGTAAAAGCAGCATAAATGTGCAGCCTTACACACAGGTCCCCAAGTAGATTACTCTTCTCTTGGGGAAAGTTACCACTCTGGGGTTAGAAGTCATGTACAGACAGATATACAGGCTGTAACCCCATGTCCCTTATTCCCATACTATCCTGCTTTGACAGCCTGTAGATTGACTTCTTTGCATGTCTTTTGGGGAGATTGAAATGGTGGAGGAACCACATTCTCTGTAGAAAATTTCTGCTCCATGTTCCCCTTCTACCTGTGAGTTTTCTAGTCTTAGGCATACAGGGCAGCTAAATTTTGTCCAAATATCATACTGTAAAACTTGAGGAGGATGAAAGTAGGTGCTCATGACAAATATATATGTTCCTTCAATAGTACGATCTATGTCACAGCTTACAGAACACAGGATTCTAACCACTGTCTTCATTCCGGGGATTTCCACACATTACTTTTATCAAGAACAGTCACTTTGATCGTTAAAGCTATATTCTTGCCTGTTACACTGGCATCTTTTTGTGCGGGAGCTGGTGGTCATAGTATGTATTTTAGGGCCTCATTTTCAGCAGGTTGGTAGGTAACAGTAATTTAATGTGTACACTAATGGGTAGTGATAGGTGCCTATCCAGTTTCATACGCATCTGTGGACTGTGTGTTCTTGTCCTGTAGTGTGTATGTGCAAAGGCAAGCCTGAGAATCAGGCCCTTGATAGCTGTGCCTGGCTTTTCTGCTAGAAGAGAATATCTGCCCCAACTGCTGATTTTTGCCTTAGAAACCCAAAATACATTTCTGTCACTGATAATAAAAAACATTGGATGATAAGACCTTCAGGAGGACACAAACCAAGTGTATGAACAAATGATAAACAAAACTGCATGGTTTTTACTAAATCTATTAGCAACACACCAAACTGGGACCAGATTGTAATCGCTATTATTCCATTAAAATCCTGAGTAATTCCACTGAAGCCAATGTAGTAACTCTGGATTTCAACTGATATAGCTGATATGAGTATCTGACTCTCTGTATTTACTGATCAGAGCAGCAGTTTGATCTTGAATTATGACTCTATGATATAGGAACCATCCTACACACCCTGACATTAATAAACTGGGCCAGCTATTACAGAACAGCTACAGAATATCAGTGTAACAACCCTTGTAAAGTCTGACTTTAGAAAGGAATGTTACTTCTCAATGTTTGGAAGAGGATTACTGTATAGTTCCTTCCTCTGGTTCTTTACCCTTGATATCATAACTATTAGCTAGAAATTAAGCAATATCCTGTATCTCTAAGTGTAACAATCTATTATTTTCTAACTAGACATCTTGGAATCTTGTACAGGGTTAGGACATTACGGTTCATGGCTAAATAGATTAGCAAATTAGGCTTGTACTGTGACCTCTGGGATGAATACTTGAGCTCATTTACAATGTTGTTTTAATAAAACGGCTGTTTATGTGACTCAGAGGCTAAGTTCATTGTTATTTTTATTATTATCAGAAATTTGGTAAAGTCTTGTTTTTTCAGCTTCCCTAAGGGAAGAAGTCAAAATGTTGACTTTAATATATTTGTTATCATTTTAATTGAAACACTTTTAGTTGCAATAACCAAGAAAAGCCAGACAAAGCAGCAAACTGCAGGCAAAGTGGCAAACTGCAGTCTAATGTAAACATTGTAACACCTTTTAAAATATGTACTGTACATGCTGTTCACAATCCTCCTCCCTTTGTTCCTGCAAAGAAATACAATGCCCAACCTTGCCTTGCAGCCAAAGACCGGGAGGAGGTATTTCATACAGACTTCGTCAGAAATCATATGCAGTATTACTGAGCACACTCAGGGATACTTTACTCTCTCAGGCTTCTGATGCTACATGTTTGATAAAGAGCTCAACAGTAGAAGATGAGGATATAGTTCCATTTCCTTGAAAGATACAAAGGCTAGATTGTGACATGGAGTACGCACCTATACAGGGGAGAAAAGGGAGTAAAAGCTACGTTTCTACCTGTGCATGAACTACCCAAGCCTTGAGTGTGGAGATGAACGAGTAAGTGGGTGCTGAACCTCCTTACTCTTCAGCCCCTCTAGAAGGTGAGGGGGGAATGGGAAGGAAGGGGTGGCGAATGTGTGGAATCTTGATTCTCCCCCTCCTACTTGTTGCCTGGTGCAGGGGCGGAGGTTAGCAATTTACTGCTGATATAGGCCGACAGCAAATTACCACCCTACTGGAGCAAGGGAGAAGCATGGAGGGAATTGTGCCTGAGAGGTATCTCTGAATGTCCTAGTATGTCCCTGAACTTGTCCGAGGATGGCGTAGCTTACGCACTTGTACTGGCTCAGGACTAGATCGCACGCCCTGGTTCTCATGGGTGACTTTAATTTTCCTGATATCTGCTGGGAGAGCAATACAGCGGTGCATAGACAATCCAGGAAGTTTTTGGAACGCATAGGGGACAATTTCCTGGTGCAGATGCTAGACGAGCCAACAAGGGGGAGCTTTTCTTGACCTGCTGCTCACAAACAGGGAAGAATTAGTGGGGGAAGCAAAAGTGGATGGAAATCTGGGAGGCAGTGACCATGAGTTGGTTGAGTTCAGGATCCTGACACAGGGAAGAAAGGTAAGCAGCAGGATACGGACCCTCGACTTCAGGAAAGCAGACTTTGACTCCCTCAGGGAATGGATGGGTAGGATCCCCTGGGGGACTAACATGAAGGGGAAAGGAGTCCAGGAGAGCTGGCTGTATTTCAAGGAATCCTTGTTGAGGTTACAGGGACAAACCATCCCAATGAGTCGAAAGAATAGTAAATATGGCAGGCGACCAGCTTGGCTTAACGGTGAAATCCTAGCGGACCTTAAACATAAAAAAGAAGCTTACAAGAAGTGGAAGGTTGGACATATGACCAGGGAAGAGTATAAAAATATTGCTCGGGCATGTAGGAATGAAATCAGGAGGGCCAAATCGCACCTGGAGCTGCAGCTAGCAAGAGATGTCAAGAGTAACAAGAAGGGTTTCTTCAGGTATGTTGGCAACAAGAAGAAAGCCAAGGAAAGTGTGGGCCCCTTAATGAATGAGGGAGGCAACCTAGTGACAGAGGACATGGAAAAAGCTAATGTACTCAATGCTTTTTTTGCCTCTGTATTCACTAACAAGGACAGCTCCCAGACTGCTGCGCTGAGCATCACAACATGGGGAGTAGATGGCCAGCCCTCTGTGGAGAAAGAGGTGGTTAGGGACTATTTAGAAAAGCTGGACGTGCACAAGTCCATGGGGCCGGACGAGTTGCATCCGAGAGTGCTAAAGGAATTGGTGGCTGTGATTGCAGAGCCATTGGCCATTATCTTTGAAAACTTGTGGCGAACGGGGGAAGTCCCAGATGACTGGAAAAAGGCTAATGTAGTGCCAATCTTTAAAAAAGGGAAGAAGGAGGATCCTGGGAACTACAAGCCAGTCAGCCTCACCTC